TTCTACTCCGAAATGGGTAAAGGCTGATGTGTTCCTGTCGGTCTCTGATGTTCCGCCTTCACTTGCTGACAGGTAAGACACTTAGCTACATACTCTAAAATCTTCCTACACATATCACTCTACCAAAAGTCTCTCTTTAGGTACTTGTACATCTTAGTTGTTCCTGGGTGTACTGAATCGCGAATTCATAGTCCTCAATAAACTCAATCCACCGCCGCTGTCTCTGGTTGAATTCCTTCTGGGGAAAAAGATACTTCAAACTCTGGTGGTTGGTGAACAACTCAAACTGCACTCCATACAAGTAATGTCTCGTGACTTCAGTGTAAATACCACTTCTGCTAACTCCAAATCATGAGTGAGGTAGTTCTGCTTGTGCACCCTAAATTTCCATGAGATATATACTTCTACCCTCTGAGTATGCATCAAGACGCATCTTAAACCTGCTAATGATGTATCTGTGTAAATAACGTATGTCCTGTCGCTGCTCGGAATAGTCAAAACCGGCGCTGTAGTCAACTTAGCCTTTAAAGTATCAAAGGCCTTCTGGCACTCCGTGCTCCAAATGAACTGTACACCCTTCTTCGTAAGGCGTGTAAGTGGTGTCGAAATCTTCAAGAAGTCCTGGATGAACTTCCTGTAATAACCGGCTAAACCTAAGAAGCTTTGAATCTCTGTCACCGTCTTCGGCGGTTCCAAATCAAGAACTGCTGTAACATTAGCCGGATCCACTGCTATGCCCTCTCTGCTGACGACGTGGCCGAGAAATCTGTCTCCTGAAAGCTAAAACTCGCATTTGCTAAATTTGGCATAGAACTGATGTTCCTGTAGAGTCTGCAAAGCTAACCGGGGACGCTACTCGTGTTCTGCCTCCGATCTCGAATATATGAGAATATCATCGATAAAGACAATCACAAACTGATCCAAGAAGGGACGGAAAACCCGATTCATCAAATCCATGAATACCATGGGTACATTGGTTAACCCAAATGACATGACCGTGAACTCGAAAGATCCATATCGAGTCAGAAAAGCGGTCTTGGGAATATCCATCTCCCGAATCCGCAAGTGATGATAACCAGAACGAAGATCAATCTTCGAGAAATGTTGCGCTTCGCGCAGTTGATCAAACAAGTCATAAATCCTATCAAGTCCGGTTAGTGAACTTGTTCACATTATAAAAATCTACACATAATCATAAGTTACTGTCCTCATTCTCCCAAAGAGGATAAGTGTTCCCATAAATAAAAGATACTCCAGTGAGTAATACTCTAAG